ACGTTATTCATCAGCCGCAAATTGTATCGAACTTTTTAACATCACATTTTTATTAATAGGTTTCAAATGTTTGTGAAACCTATCATTGCAATTACGTCAATTAATACATTATTTACGTACATAAGTAACCTCCGTGTTAGTTAAAACTGTTTGCTGTCTGCCGGTAAAAGGGGAGGTCATTAGGACTCGTTCGTTGGTAAGTTTTGACCGCGTCTACCTTTATTTGTAGCACATTTATCTAGCTCAGGTTATCGTTAAAGACTAGGCATTAGTATCAGTAACTTACTAGTTTTTAATCGCTTTTAAAAGACTACCCGGTTTTAATATTTGTTATTAAACATGTAGTTCTGTCAGTAAAAATATTTATTTAGACTTTACAATAAAATGAAATTTATAAACATAAGTTTTATTTATGTTTATTTTATATGGGGTATGTATTGCAAATCGGTAGGTTCTTTAGCCTAAAAGAAATTAATTTCAACTTGTTAAACAACAAATGTACCTATTAAACACGTTGAGCTTCATTCGGGATAACACGTGGTCCACGCTAGCGGAGGATTGACCCTTAACAGTCGTCAGTCAATGACTTAAAAATAATGATACCGTTATGCCATGCCATGCTTCATTACGAATGGGTTGGCTCGACCGGATTGTTACCACGGCCTCTACATACAGAAAACACACAGAAAACCGGCGTGAAACAACCGCAGCGTTGTGTTTCGCCGTGTGAGTGAGGTTATCGGAGGCCCAATTCTTCCCCTCCCCCGATGCCTCCCCAATCCCTAAATCTCCAAATCCCTAAGAGGTTTGCAACGCACTCGTAACTTCTCCGCTGCGGGTGTCCATGGGCGGCGGCGTGATTGCTTACTAATCCGCCGCCAAATGGTAATCCGTCTGCTCGTTTGGCGATCTACAAGGTACATAAAAAGTACATAAAAACATATTTTTAGACAATTCAACAGAAATAAATATGATGTTTGACGTACAAAGTATGACGGTACATGTAATTTCATACATATTTCATAGAACAATGTAGTTTTTGACATTTCGCAAAAAGTATTGAATTTGATTAATCGGAAACTACCATATTTATTGCGAAAACTTACTGTTTCACAGAAATCTGTCATTTACTTTTGTAACATTTTGATATATGAATTTCATCAAAAATAGTTCGTTTGTTTTAAATATGATTCCTAAATTTACGGCATAAATAAATAGCGTTCTAAATCCAAACTATGTAATATTATAAGTGCAAAAGTAACTCTGTTTGTCTATCTGTCTTCTTCACGCCTAAACTACTGAACCGATTTCTGTGAAATTTGGTACAGACATAGTTTGGAACTCGAGAAAGAACATAAGATAGTTTTTATACCAAAAATCTGCAGGAAGGCACTATTCCACGCGAATGAAGTCGCGGGCTAAAGCTACTTATTATACATATAATTTGTAAATATTTATTCTTTATTATGTTTATGTATTCATAATATTATTAGGTTGCTATTCAGTTTTTCAAAGATGATTTATAGCAATTTATTGTAAAGATATAAAAAGAAATATGAATAAGAGAATTCTTATTCACTTACAAACGAATTTATTCTTTGAATGCCATCGTTTATAATATGAATATTTAAAAAGTTTTTATGGCGCCTCTTAGCAAACATTAATTTGTCTTTTTTGAGAATGATGACTTAAGAAAAAAAATGTTTTTTACATTTCCAAGCATAGTTATGTACGTTTTAGAATGACGAATTAAAAGGTAGCGTTTTTTGACATGGTTTTAAAATATCTAATATATTTATTTTATAATTAGTATGTAAGGTTTCTTTGTATTGTTTTTGATTTTATGTATTTCTTTATAATGTTACTACACTATTGTATTAGGAAACTCCTGTGATAATAGTTGTATGTTGGTGATAAATAAATAAATAAATTAAAATCTTAGGGCTGATTTTTTAATGGTTAGATAAAAGATATCTAGGGAATAATTATGATGCTGTCACGTCAGAATGTTTGTATAATACAGTGACAGCAATACTTTTATTCCTCAGATAACATTATCTAACTACTGAAAAATCAGTCCTTAGCTAAAGACACCACTTCAAGCCGTATCTTAATAAACTAGTGCACCTTACCATCAACGATTGCATCACTGCTCACCATCAGATGGGATCGCAGAGTCAAGCACTAGTTTATTGCAAGTAAAAAAAATAAAAATCTGAATTATTTCCTTATCACTCTACTTGTAAGTTTCATTGGTTACATTTGTGTTTTTTTTATGTGACCGACCTGCCAACTAGTAGACGGATTACCTGATGGTAAGCAATCAGCGCTGCCCATGGACACCTGCAACACCTGAGGAGTTACGAGTGCGTTGCCGGCCTTTTAGGTAAGTATAAGGGTTGCGGATATTTAAGGATTGGGAAGAGGTAGGGGAGGGGGAGGGGAAGGGATTGTGCCTCCGGTAACCTCACTCATACGACGAAACACAACGCTGTGGTTGTTTCACGCCGGTATTCTGTGAGCGAATGGGTCGACACTTATATTAATATTTTGTTTGAACCCAGTATCGACTCAGGATCCCTGTGGCGTCAACACAATAAGCATCGTTTTCCATATTAACATAAATACTATGTGGGACACACACTTTTGAATAAGACCTATTTCATATGTGGTATTACAGAACTTTTACTCTATGGTTTTCTTCATGTTAACACTTCACCACACACAGTAAACCAATTTTGTTCTCTATGCACAAAAGTTTTATTTAGGTACGTTTTTGAATTAATTGGAGTGTAATAGACAAAATAATTCTTTTTGTTTGGCAGTTGCACTCTGTTATCAAGAGAGGACGTAGGTACCAAATAAAGTTAATTTCCATCAATTCTGCTTGAATAGAGAGAGGGAGATAGATAGTGAGAGAGAAAAGGACAGGACTCCATGCTGATTTGTACACAAGAATCAATGGGTATTATCTATGAATTTAAACAATATTATTATACTGTTCTGTTAACAATAAAACCTTTTTACCAATTTTCACCAGACAATGAAACCTCACACTTTTGATCGTTACAAAAGAATCTGATATTGCGAATTTTTTTGGTTGGATTTGATTTGAATTGGTTGTAAAGCCTTTTTTAATGTTTGTAAATAAACTTCCTGTATTTAAAGATGAATTGCCGTACTAATAGATATTTCGCATCACATTATCAGCCTGTAAGTGTACACTTTGAACTAAGGCCTTTTCTTACATGGAGAAGATTTGAGCATTAAGTGATTAACACTTTCTCAAGGCGGATTGCCGATTTCAAACTTTCTTCAGGATGTTTTCCATTATCCTTATGTCAGTGGGGTCTAAATAATCATTTACTCGGAAAAACTCACGTTGCCAGGTCCGAACCCGGTCATGCCCGAAAAGCGGGGTGCCTAAACCTCCGGGCCACCACTAGATCTACTAAAAGACATTTTTACATTAAATCATCAGCTTGTTGGTAGTCATTGCGAATTAGATGATTTCTCAAGGCGAATTGGTGATTTCGAACTAATAATTTGAAATTGCGTGCAGTGCGTTGCAGTGTGTGTCTGAATGATCTTAGAGTTACCTATGTATAATTTGGCAAAAGTCACATTGGTACTCGCCAGGTTTGGAACAAGCATTCTTTTGCATAAAAGGTGGGCGTCTTGTCCAGTTCACTTTCTCGTTGTTAGAAGAGACCTTTGCTCAACCGTGGGCACTTGTAGGTTGGTGATGATATTAAAGTAATGTGAAGTGCATACGGAGTAAAAGAGAATCCATGAATGAGCGGGAAGGAATGTATGAACTACTATGACCGATGAAGGGAATGAATGAAGATAAAGATAAGATGGAAGACGTAAAAGTTAGGAGGTCTTTTTTTGTTTTTTTCTGTGGAAGTGAGGAAATTAAATCAGTATTTCAGTACTCTATCGCTTTCTTTTGCCACTATTAAATTCCACCATAACTTATATTTTTAATAAGTTGCGCGATTTCCTCGATTTTTTATGAAAAACTTCCTTAGATTTCTACAAAAAAGAAATAATTAAATATTTTTGTTTCGTCTTTCAGAATGCAAACTATCTCTAAAACTAGTTCTTCATTAAAGTTATTTTGTTTACGAATCGAGGAGAGTTTATTTTATTCTCTTTGGTTATTGTTACACTAGCGAAAATTTTATGTGAACTTTAAAACTGTCACAGCTTATCCCTTTACGGAACCAGCGTGACGTGTTCTTTGACAGGGCTTTGTTTGTGTGAATTCCCGCTAAAGAGAGATTTTTGCGAAAATCCTTTATTAGTACCTACTTTCCTTTATATGAGAACGTGGCGAACTCCATCAAGCTTTTAAGATTACGTGGTTAAGGTAAGTGTAGGTACTGTAATATATTACTTAACCTTCCAATCATGGTAATTCGAGACACAACAGAAGAACATTAGTAGGCGAATGCTGGCATTCGCTTGAAGTTTGATGAATTAAAAGTGTTTAAATAAATAAAATTAATGTATTACAATTGAGATTTTTTTAAACAAAACACGCAATCAACCGTTTAAGAGTTATGCTTTGGCACAACTGGAATGATACCACTGTTTAATATAGAGCCCAAAGCATTAGCAAACTGCAGTGGCTTTCGGCAGGTCACATTTTTTGAAGAACTGGTGATCGTTTGAGTAAATGTGTTCTGAAATGGAGATCGCGTCTTGACAAATGTAGTGTAAACAGTGATTGGATGACAAGAGTTGAAAATCGAGCTCAGTGGCGAGAGACCTCTCCAGCAGTGGACAGAAATTGGCTGATGATGATGGTGACAGTGCAGAAAACCGGTGACATACAAAACTTTTGGGTGTGTACGGTGACTAACGGCATAATCCACTAACGACCTATCCTATCCCTACTTATATCTAACTTTAGAAAAGCATGCAAATCATTTTTGTGACTTCTTTAGTGAACCTGGTGCTTACATACAGCGCCAAAAAACACTGGAGTTAAGTTAGTGCACGAATCCGCGCATTTCAGCATACTCCTTCAAAGGACCTTAAAAGAGGTTTATCAAATTAATATAAAAATGTTGTATCTAATTACAATCTTTATTTTTTTCCGACATTGGTAATCATAATAACAGATAAAGGAAAAAAAAATATATCCAACTACCACAGAATAAACAGATTATCTAAATAAATGCTAGAGAGAACCGTTTAGTCTACACAACGAGAATCTAATCGTATTTTGAATAAAGAATAAAGATAAAAGTAACTAAGTGGTGTTACATGAAGAAAAAAATACTCCAGAAAAAAGTTCCTTTAGAAAGAAAATATTACTTATACAGGTCGCGGAGAGGAAGATACAGTCGAATTCTTGAGAAAGATTTTAAATATTAAGAAACGTATTTTTCTCAGAATGTTGGTGATATTTTTTTCATTCTGTATTTCTAGGTAGACATTGTTTGTGTTGTTTAGGTACCTACATAGGTACATTAATTTGTACCTAAAAGCGACACTACAATAGACACGTTTCGCTGACATTTTTCATTTGAAAACGTTGCTGTATTTGTGGCACTAAATGGATGGTGTAGAAATGTCTAGAACTTTCTGAGGATTTAATTTTAGTTTGAAATCAAATGTTGCAGTTTTAATAGACTATAATTTTTTATCACTTTTTGCTTTTTAAAATGGAATATACAAATGTATAAATATCTAACAAACTGTTTTCCTCGATTTTTATGAAAAAGTTTCTACAAAAAAGAAATAATAAAATATTTTTGTTTCGTTTTTCAGAATGCTAAACTATCTCTCTCCTAGTGAGAGAGATAGTTTTTCATCAAAGTTATTTATAAGTTTACGAATCAAGGAGAGTTTATTGTATTCTCAATTATAGTTCAAAACAGTGACGAGCGCTCAGCATGTATGGTAAATCAAGTGGTGACCTGGCGTGAAGCAACGTTAGCGTTATGTTTCAACGTATGAAAGGTTACCGGAGGCTCAATTCTTCTTAATCCCCATCCATCCATCCATCCAGCCTCCGTTACTAAAATCCCTAACCTCTAAAAAGCTAAACAAAATTGTAACTCTTCTAATGTTTCGGGTGTCCAAGGCCGAAGCCTCTGCTTACCATCAGACGAAACGGCAGCTCGTATAGATCTATATATGTATATGTATAAAAGAAAGTCGTGTTAGTTACTCCACTTATATTATAACTTAAGAACGGCTGAACCGATTTGGCTGAAAATTCGTAGGGAGGTAGCTAAGAACTGGGAGAAGGACATAGGATAGGATAGAGTAGGTAGTATAGGTTATGTAGAGTAGGGTAGGTAGAGTAGGGTAGGTAAAGTAGGGTAGATAGAGTAGAGTAGGTAGATTAAGGTAGGTAGAGTAGGGTAGGTAGAGTAGGGTAGGTAGAGTAGGGTAGGTAGAGTAGGGTAGGTAGATTAAGGTAGGTAGAGTAGAGTAGGTAGAGTAGGGTAGGTAGTGTAGGTTAGGTAGAGTAGAGTAGGTAGAGTAGGGTAGGTAAAGTAGGGTAGATAGAGTAGAGTAGGTAGATTAAGGTAGGTAGAGTAGGGTAGGTAGATTAAGGTAGGTAGAGTAGGGTAGGTAGAGTAGAGTAGGTAGATTAAGGTAGGTAGAGTAGAGTAGGTAGAGTAGAGTAGGTAGAGTAGGGTAGATAGAGTAGGGTAGATAGAATAGGGTAGGTAGAGTACTGTAGGTTGAGTAGGGTAGGTAGGTTAGAGTAGGTAGAGTAGGGTAGGTAGAGTAGGATAGGTAAAGTAGAGTAACTACCCTACTCTACCTACTCTTCCTACCCTAGGTAGAGTAGGTAGAGTAGGGTAGGTAGAGTAGGCTATGTAGGTTAGGTAGAGTAGGGTAGGTAGTGTAGAATAGGTAGAGTAGGTTAGGTATAGTAGGGTAGGTAGGGTAGGTAGAGTAGGGTAGGTAGAGTACGGTAGGTAGAGTAGGGTAGGTAGAGTAGGGCAGATAGAGTAGGGTAGGTAGTCAAATGACGGGAGCGACGCCGCGGGTAAGAGATAGTTATAAATAAGTAAAACTTACCGACAACAGTAAGATTGATGCCAACATTTCTGGTTGGTGAAAGTCGGAAGTCGACCCTACAGTGGTACATGGCCTGGTCATCTTCTGACAGGGAGGCTATCGTGACAGAGGTTGGCTGGCTGATGATGTCTGCTCGTAGTCTGGCGGTCGTGTTGAAGGATGGTTCCGACCATTGCTTGTCCGGGACCTCGAAGCTGCAAAGATAATTATGTTGTTTAAAATAGGTGTTTTTGGGAATGAGACTCTGAATTAAAAGGTGTATGGTAGATTTATGAACAGCCAGCTGCAATTTTATTAATTCCTTTTTCTTCTCTTAAGTTTTGTGTTGTGTAGGAACCTTATGTTTTATTAATCAATATAATGCCATACTTTTTTCTTTTGTTCTTAAAAATGTTGCCCCACACTAGTATTTTATCATGTGTTGTTACTGCCTTTAAAAACATACAATTTCACACACACATCACGCCCAGACCCGGAACAACAAGTTTTGGATCACACAAAGAGTTTTTCCGTGCGGGAATCGAACGAGCGACACGTTGTACCGCAGCCAGTTGCCCAGCCGCTGCGCCAACCGTGTAGTCAAATCGTTGGCATAGTGGCTGATACGCAACGGGATTCGATTCCTGCACGCAACAACTTGTATGTGATCAAGAAATTGTTGTTCCGGGTCCGGATGTAATGTGTCTGTTAATTTTGATGTTTGTAAAACACAAGAAAGTAACGATCAAGAAGTAAATACTGGTGTAGCCAAATGTTATTAAAGAAGGAAAGAAAAATCATTTCTATCTTCATTGGCTAACTTCGGAAATACATAGATCCATATCCATTATCCAAAAATTAGAAATAACAGTTTACCTTAATTGGTGGATTAAAATTACCTTTGCAATAGTGCTCAGACAAAATAAATGTATGACTGTGTTAACGTCTCATCATCATCCTCATCTACGTCAAACTGTACTCTAAATTCTGATCTATAAGATTGATATTTAAATGTTTTTATAAACGAGAACACTTACACAGGTGTTGACGTGGCCTAGCAATCAGATCGCAAAAAGAACCACTTAAGCATTTGAAATCTTGTCATCATTGTATAGCATGTGGTTTTAATCATGTGGTTTTAATCATTGGTTTGTTCGAATTTTTAGCTCACGGTGAGAAGGTAGATAACCATAATATATAATATGTTTATAACAAAATATGGAAGAATGCGATTCTACTGAATTGGTCATTACTGATATTATTCTAGATCTTGGAAGAGAAGTTCGCAAACTGAAAAGTTATTGAGAAGGACTATTTGATACTCTCCGTTCGCATATAGGTACTGTGAAAAGGAATTTTAAACTTTATGTTAAAACGAATACAGCGTTTTATCCTGCGAAACTTTCCTATTGAAACTCGACAATGCTAGTTTTTAACAACTTAAGTCATAGGAAACGGTCTTTCGTTACTCGTTTTTATTTTTTCAGAAAGCATCCGTGCTATTCCGAGCTTAGTAGCTTTCGTATTTTTATTCCGTTCCGATTTTGCGTTTATTTGTGGTTCTGTTTAGTTTCTGTGTAGAATAAATACTCTTTGCTTTGATTATTTGTAGGATTTAAGCCGTGGGCGGAAAGTTCGTTGATCTCGGTTGACTTGCTGTTAATTTATTTTGCAAAGTGGCGGCGCTAGTGTGCCGAATAAGGCGACGGACCACTCCTCGCTGCTTAATAGTGGTCGTAAACGAAGCTTGGTGAAAGAGGTTGTGTAGGTAATTTGAATAAAGAGGTAGAGGTAGCCGGCGTGTTTATGTCGTTGGGTAATCAATCTAACTTTTTCGCAATTCTTACCGGTTTCTTTTTCGGTTAGTTTGAATCAAACTTGAGCGAAGCCAACTTTGTGTTTTGAAAAGTTTGTTGCGTTAGTTTATTTGACAACAACTTCGAAATTCCAAAATTAAAAAATTGCCTTCAATTTATTCTTATTGTGTCGTGTGTGCGTTAACATACACAATCTTATGGATCACACAAATCGTTGTATGGTGCCGAAAGCGAATTGGCGCGAAGATCAGCCGGGCCAACCACTTCGCCAACCGTACAGTCTACATGCGTTACAACTAGCTTCCTCTTCCGTGTTCTAATTTTTTAACATGCACAGTACTTATAGAAAGGCAGACTTTATGCCACGTAGGTACAATCTGAACAGAGATGAATTTTTACGAAGCACTATGCGTACTCCAGCCTAAGTAAGTGATCCAAATTCCAGGATAGGCGAGTAGTAGTGGTTAATGTGAGCTAATTAACTAATTAAGTCCAAACTAGAAGCTGCAAACTATTGTGTAGATTGCAGGCTGTCCAATTAGTGGAATGGTTGGTGAGGTAAATTGCCAGCTGGCCAAGTGATGGAGTGAAGGTACATATATTCGAGTACAATTGGAGCTGTGCTGTTTCGTACACAAATTATGGGTTGGAGTGAACAGTTGGAAAGCAACCACGATAAAGATTGAGGTGCGACGTTAGAAACATAATAGCGTTGAGCTAATCACTTCTACGATTCGATGTGACCTAATCACTCTTTTGAAGGGAAGAAGAATTACTTATCAGTCTGAGAGAGGAATGCTTCTACACGATTGGGTGGCTCGACCTGAGTAGAACTCCGGTGTCACAGGCGTAAAATAAATAAATGATAATATAAACGACTGCACGGTTCGCGCACTGGCTGCCGTGTAACGTGTCGTGGGTTGGATTCCCGCACGAAACAACTCTTTGTGTGATCCGCAAATTGTTGTTTCTGGTCTGGGCGTTGTGTGTATTTAAAGTTTAATGTTTGTAAACGCCTCCACGAGACAGGAAAAACTACAAATGTGTGTAGGGCAAAGATTTTTTTTATTGAATATACGTTCGCGCTTGACCGCTATCACACCTGATGGAAAGCGACGATTCGGTCGACGATGGAGCGCGCTTACCTAGAAGTAACCTATTCACTCTTGACTTAACACATTCAGTGCCCCCGACGCGTATGTGCGTTTCCTCGCACGCACATACGCGTCGGGGGCACTGAATGTGTTAAAAGTTTTAATTTAAAAATAAAAATATGTTACCTGTAAATGGGCATATTATTCTTGTACCACACGAGAATCATGAACTCGTCGTCGGAAGAATCAGGAGTGGAGTCGCAGAGCAGAGTGACATCACCTCCCTCCAAGGCCTCTACGTTGGATACGGGACCTGAAGGTTGAACAAAAATACAAATAAATACCCATCTGCAGTTCTGAAAAGGTATGACCATGGAGTTATCTATTGATTTATTGAATAAAAAACTCTTTACCAAGAATATATTTGTAGGCAATGTAGGTACCCAAAGCATTAACAAAAACACATTTAAAAAATTCTTTGGAATATTCGAGAAGCTTATGAATATTTATCACTAGCTTTTGGCCGCGAACCACACGTTTTTTTCGTTCACGTGGAATAGTGACTTCCTGCAGATTTTTGGTATAAAAATCCCATGTCCTTTCTCCAGTGCTAAACTATGTCTGTACCAAATTTCACACAAATCGGCTCAGTAGTTTAGACGTGAAGAACAGACAGACAGAGTTACTATCGCATTCTTTTATAATATTAGTTGGGATTGTTTTGTTTTATTCTCTATTCTGATTTTAATTTAAATATCTTAATTTTTAAAGTGCACCTATAATTACACCATTTGTTTGTTAGTAGTGAGTTTAGTAGATATTATTTATGCATGTGTGGTCTCCTATAAATGAAGGAGTACTTACACCAACAACATACCTATTGTTAAAGTTATACTTTGCAATGTTATGTGTACGTCTTTAATTGGAGATCCAAAATAAATAAATAAAAGTAGGATAACACTTTGATCTATTTGGGCATCGAATGCTAAATATCACGCGATCAATGATGCAGATTGTACTTTGGATACAATTCCAGAATTCGTGCTATTTCAAGATACAGTTTTTATCTAAAAATACAGAATAATCTTTGGATAGTCATGGAGAGTCATGCTACGGCACGAATGGGTCAGCCCGACTGGAGAGATACCACGGCCTCACAGAAAACCGCCGTGAAACAACTACAGCGTGTGAGGTTGCGGGAGGCCCAATCCTTCCCTCCCATCCCCTATCCTTAAATCACTAATAACCCAAAAGAGTTACTATCAGGCTTACTATCAGGTAATCCGTCTGCTCGTTTGTCGACTTATGACATAAAAAAGGGAATGACCCAGTCAATAAATTAGTAGTTTGACTTAAATGGCCTTTTTCTAACCACTAAAAGATAAAGGAAATTTATTCCACTTATCTTTTATCAAAAGGGTATTGAATTATAGGCAAGTAGTATATTAGTTCTGCATGATAAAGATCATAATATATAGGCTTATATGTAGATAAGCTGTGGGACTTTTTCAAGTTGTGTAATTGCAACATTCTTTTTGCAAAAAAAATTGGCTTCATAAATTGACTGGCTCGTTTGAAAGTCAATATCGACGTTTTTAACAAAAAAAAAAAAAGATATCTAAGATAGATCTATATGCTAGTTATGAGTTGCTGTAAAGTCTGCATGGGACATGTGGAGATGTTCGCAACAAAATGTTTTTTTTTTACAATTTGACATTATTGCTGACTTAATGGTAGGTAATTCTTTTCCTTTTGACAAAAACAGATAGGTAATTGTTTTTTGTATGAGAACGGTTTAAGACTGTTTTTTTATTTATTTGTGCGACAAGCCCGCCGCAACCTCCTAAACCGCTGCAACTCCTGTAAGCCAGGATCTGCAGTAGATCATCATCATCATCATCATCATCAGCCGGAAGACGTCCACTGCTGGACAAAGGCCTCCCCCTTGGCTCTCCACGTCGAACGACAAGTTGCCACCTGCATCCATTGGCTCCCCGCGACTCTGACGATGCCGTCGGTCCACCTAGTGGGAGGCCTGCCCACACTACGTTTTCCGGTCCTTGGTCGCCACTCTAGGACTTTTCGGGCCCATCGACCGTCCGTCTTTCGAGCGACGTGGCCTGCCCATTGCCACTTTAGCCTGCAGATTTTACGAGCTATGTCGGTGACTTTGGTTCTTTGGCGAATTTCCACATTCCGGATTTTGTCGCGCAAAGAGACCCCGAGCATAGCCCGCTCCATCGCGCGCTGAGCGACGCTGAGTTTAGAATGCTGCAGTAGATACAACCATGAAAACACCTGAACACTGACTGTTTTTTGAGTAATGATTATTTATGGTCTGAGTATTCGTGCGATTTACCTAATTGTTAATTTGGTCGGTATTTTTTACGGATAATTCAGCGACACCAGTTAGTTCAGCTGGTTTTAAATTGAGATCTTTTGTTTTGTCAGGGGAAAATCATGAAATGACTTCTGCCGCCCAGGGTTAGGCGAGAGAGAGTGTCAGACTCTTACTGACTAAAACCCCCCGTTCCTTCTCCTGCTCTGGGTCGAGGCCGTGCTTACTTATTGCGCTTAACCCGCAACCCCGGCTGAACATCAGCCCTATCTTTAAGGCGCGCGCGGAACGTTACGCGCCGTACGCTCGGGTTTAAACTGAAACCTGAGTTTCTGCCTTCAGAACATGTCCACGCATACTAGTGTTGCTTTTCTCAAAAAACTACTACAGAATTAACTTAGACGATTCTCCCACATCATTTTATATTTTTCTCGACTTTAAAAAAGACTGACATCTGAGTTTGTTTCAGAATTTCTTTTCAGAGCAGTCAGATAGGAAATACCAGCCTAACCTAGATTTGATTTATACAATGTTGATTTGTAAAAGTTTTGTTTATAATAAAACAATGACTTTATTTTTGTAAATACGTCGTAAGTATTTACAAAAATAAAGTCATTGTTTAATTGAAGAACGTATCTCAGTAACCGCGTAGCGTTCCGCGCGCGCCTCAAAGAGCCAATAGACCACCACAGACGGGGCCCAATAGGGCTGGTGTTCAGCCGGGGTTGCGGGGTAAGCGCAATGAGGCACCGCGACCTCGGCCCAGAGCAGGAGAAGGAACGGGGGGGTTTTTAGTCAGTAAGAGTCTGACACTCCCTCCCGCCCGGCCTTGGGCGGGAGAAGTCATTGGATGATTTTCCCTTGGCAAAAAAAATCTCAGTAATAGGACGTAGGCTGCCATTGTGCTTGGCAATATACTTACCCTATTATATGGGATTTATACAAATAACTGCAAAAATGAGTGTAGGCGAGTTATAAATTAGGAATTATGTGCCCACACATTCGTCGATGAAAAGGCGAAATGACTTCAAAAGAGATTACGCTAATTGTACATCCAAAAAATGTTCTTTATTTAGACAATTACTCCTCAAAGGTGACTTATCGAAGAAATAAATTAGGCTACCAATAAATTAGGAAGATTCTACGTATTTTTATGAAGGTCAGGTTATCGAATTAAGAATTTAAACTAGACAATAACGTTCTCAGCCTATAAATCCAAGCAAGTAAGACATAACAGACCTGAATTGTGTTGACAAGAACAAGATATATTGCCCAATAAATCTGCTACAGTACCTACGCACCCCTCAAACTGTTAGATTTATTTTGAAGCAAACGAAAATTTTCTGTTGTTCGTTTATCAGAATTTCGCGCGGTTCTAAGCTGTCAACCGATAAGGGCGCCCAAATGGGACTCGAAACTTGGAAATTAAGGGACGGCTGCAAAAGTTGGCACTCGATCTTCTTAGAAACATTTATCTTTTTCACCTTCGGTTTTAGCGAGGGACAATATTTCGTGTCAGAATCAAAGTTCATTATGTTGAGATAGGTAAATTATGGATTTAGTTCGATAATGTTATTGAAAGAAAATATTAGGTTGTTTTTTAGCTTGCTTAAAATAAAATGTAAAATTTAATAAATAACAAGTTTTTCGTGAGCCTGGGGTATGGCGGAAACTTGTGTCTGACATATACTGACTAAAAACTCCACTGTTCCTTCTCTTTCTCTAGCACGAGGCCGGGGAACCTTATTGCACTTGACTCGAAACATCGACCCTGTTGGGCTCCATCTGTGGTAGTCTGTAGGCTATTTGAGGCTACATTTATCGAACCTAGGTTGTTCTTCGCGTTTAGTTTCATTAATATAATCTCTGTTATTTGTTACTAAACATCGAACCACATGTCTTTTGACGTTAGTTGATTTTACGTAATCTTAACATGAGAGTTATTATAGGCATTTTGATAAATATTTAGGTAATAAACTAATCTTACCATCCACGCCAGGTATAAAAGCATAGCCACCGGTACAGATGAGAAGGAATATGTATATCGGCGCCGGATTGAGGCGCATTCTACGGCCCATCCATGCTCCCGCGCTGCTCGCTCATTGGTCGAGGGAAGCGCTGGACATGCGCAGTCGTCACGACTTGTGTGCCACCATCTTGGGGAACATTTACTCTTGTGTTGGGGAAACCTGTAACAAAAGAGAAAGAAAATTGTTGTATTTACATTTAATAATTAGAAAATTAATGTATTTATAATTACATAAAATGTATTTTTTTCATTCTGGAATGGCAACCGAATCTGCTAAAAGGTTAAACTCAGTTGTCTTCAACAAAGTACGACGGATGACATGAATTTGACATAATGACAAAGTGATGTCATTTATGTTAAAAACAAATAGTAAATCTTTTCCATTTAGAAAATAGAAATTTAATATTTTAAAATTAATCTTAATGTTGGATAGGTACTTTAATTTTCTCCTACATATTCATAATGTTTTGAATAATAAATAAATAAACAGGCATGATGACAAAAACCGACAGATTAAATAAAAAAATACTTCACGCCAAATTAACGACAACAGATAAAAATTAAAAAAAAACAAGTCACACAAAAAAAATTGACGTCATTATTAACTAAACAAATAAAAATGGCGGCGTGAGCTGCCTTCACGTGACAAACTCCGGTGTCCGACGAAATTTAGTTCATATCAAATGCAAAAGTTTGTTTTCCAACAAGCGGGGCTTTCGTGATGTGACATTTGTATGACAGACTCATAAAAGCATAGTTTGTGTGAATAAGTTTGTAATACCGTCGAAACTGAGGTTGTGACTTGTTTCCCTCTATTTTTGATAAAAACTTTGTTTGCTTAACTTTGGTAATGATGGGCCGACGCTAACAGGTAGATGTACTCTGAGGTCGTAATTGGCTCTCAGTTGGGAAAAACTCGGTCAAAAGGGTTTAATGGTTTCGTTGTACAAATTGTATTATAGGTGTAGTCAAAGAGGAGTTTAGATACTGTTTTGTTGTTATCCAGGTTAAGAATACGTCTATTTTTGTCGCTATACAATATATAACATTAAATCACGTTTTTTATTGGATAGGGCGGCAAAGGAATACCCGATTCAACAATCTGCACTGCTCATAGACACTCGCGATGCGAATGGAATTGAAAGTCCGTTTTTTTTTATGGTACCTATAAGTCGGCAAACGAGCAGACGGATTACCTGATGGTAAGCAATCGCCCATGGACACCCGCAACACCAACAGAGTTACGAGTGCGTTGCCGGCCTTTTGGGGATAGGGGTTGCGGATATAAGGATCGGGAAGGGATAGGTGAAGGGAAGGGATTGGGCCTCCGGTAACATTCACACGGCGAAACACAACACTGTGGGTTGTTTCACGCCGGTTTTCTGTGAGGCCGTGGTATCACTCCGGTCGAGCCGGCCCATTCGTGCCGAAGCTTGGCTCTCCCACATTTAAACCCGTTGCCGGCTTTGTTGTAGAGTTGAAGATTTGCGATTTAAGTATAGGTGAATTGGGCCTTCAGTAACATCAATCACACGGCGAAAAACAACGGAAGCCTTGTATCATCTCTGGACATCTTCTTGTTGCGAGATAAGTGCAGTGAGTCACCGCGGCCTCGGCCCAGAACATAATCTCAGGTTTTAGTCAGTAAGAGTCTGACACTCACTTACGCCTGGGCGGAAAAGTCATTTGATGATTATTTTGTCCTCAAAAATTTTCTCGTTGTGCGAAATGTATAGGTAGACATGTCTCGTCCAGTCTTTTATATGTGAGGAAGTCCCACCTAGATATTTTGTTCGTTGGCCATACTTACGACGACTCCAACAACGATGCAGTATTCTTTAATAAAAAAACAATATTTTATCTATAGTTCGGCAAAATGCACAATTTTTGGTTGATACATACCCATTGTCAAACCTAACAGGAATTAAGCACTTAATTATAATTGACATGATTATAAACCGTAATTCCCACAATTATTATTAAATTGTCAGGGTTTATTGCGGACGCATTCGTGAATTCGAATTAACCGAAACAGCCTAGGTTCGGCTACGCTTGTTGCGGTCATTGCATGGATGGGTGACCACAGCGACCGCATCGCGTATGTACATCGAAGTGTTTCATCAGCTATATTGAAACGATTTACCAGATCATAGGGTTAAGAGAGTTTTGTAATGAATTCAGTTTCATTCATACTTTTAATTTTAATAAAGGGACGGGTTTTGACATAAAGTCGTATGATGTTTAATCAGTATTATATGTATTTCCCCGTAATGCGAAGGCGAAATTCTGTATTATAACTAAAATCCAAATCCAAATTATACCCAATGTAAAAATGTTACCTAATGTTATTTCCGTTTGTTAAGCCGGGTGTAAAACTTAGTTACCAATCGCAAATAAGAGAACTCTAAAAATTAATAAATTACCATAAAATAATAATATTAGCGTATCGTAGCGTAAGTAACTTACAGATTTTAGATAAAATTGTAAGGTAGCAGATTACAAGTCGCAATAAAAATATTAATTGATTTATTTAGTGTGGCAAACCAGTTATACCTAGGTGCGGCCATTTTAGGCGGGAAATATTTGACAGTTGACACTTGACGCGCCAAAAAAACAGGGTCGACGACCTGTGAGTTGAAAAGTAATGTGAAGAGTGTTTATTTAGTTGTTAGACAAATAATCTTGTTAAATGAAATAAAAACTAATTGCTTGAACATTAGAATTCGTGTTTGTTATGTGCTTGAGATGTGAGCATGCATGAAGAGATTGATTAATATGGAAAAAGCAAAGTTCCATTGCTAGAATCGATGTATTGGGAGTCAAGTACACAGTTGATGGTTTTGCATAATACTACATTTATTACCGACATAATCTTAACATTATTATTTTAACAGATGTTGGCACAAATTGGGACAAAATTTTAGGAATTTTATACAAATTATCGTTTGCTATTTGCCCAAGTCCCAATAAACTTAATAGGCAACCGGCTTATTGCCATTTATTGGACCAATTCCAATTTGAAACCGTTGATATTCTTTTGTTTTGTTATTTGAATAGTCTGTTTGTTGTGGACTCTTCTAATAAAGGCGAAAACAGATGAACGACTCATTAGGAGCGATGAAATACCGCCGTGCGTGTGTTTCTAGTCTGTCATCGGCCTTTATCGACCTCATTAGTGACGCTAAATTAGTTACTTATTTTGAAAGTAATAAATCAAACAACACTGTTGACAGCTTTAAACGAAAATGTATTACATTTTGAACGTTAAAAGTAATTCGTATTATTGATTCCCTAGATAGCGATGTCACGACCTATTATTGTCTGTGAAACAATGCATTAACATAATCTGATAGATTTAGATAGGCACGTGGCTGTATTTACGGGCTTATCAACAATAATTTTTAATTTCTGCATACAATGGAACGGTCGTATCAAGATGGGAGGTTTGGAATCCGTGTCGTGCGCGAGTGAGAGGCTTATAAATGTTATAGTGAATATATGATATATTATAGATGTAAATTGTTAATAAAATACTACCTTTTATGTACTTATTGCATTGGATTCAGAGTCCCTTGCATCTTTATTACATCAGAGCAAAGCTCACATTGATAAAGGTCCTTGAAATATAGAAAGCCCTTGTTGACAATACCTATTTCTAAGTAAAAATATCCGGATTGGCATGAGTGATATTTATGTAAATGAAATTCGCAAATCCCTCTTGTGGGCTCAGTGAGGCGTTTAGCTTTCCACCCGTGTAGGTAGATATTGGTGGAAGCGACACCGTAGCTTAGCTATCCTTACTAGAAGCTGATCAAAAGATGGGGTTGAATTATGGATAAAAATATGATAATTTAAATATATTTATAAGAACATTTAGTTAAGTAAATAGAGAAAAAGGCATTCAAAAATCTGTGTTTTCTTTAATTCTTTATAATTATTTTGAACAGTTTTAACCGAGTTTGCGGGCAAGCGCAGAAGATGTTGTGGGGCCAGCGGAATAAGGTTCCGCGACTTCGGAATTGAGCAGGAGAAGGAACGGGCTGGATTTTAGTAAGAAAGAGTCTGACAATCCCTCTCGTCTCTCCTTGGGAGAGAGAAGTCATATGAGTCTGAAAAACAGTCATTAATTATTACTATTGCTGAATATTTTTTAGAAACAAAAATCTTCGCCGATTACCATTTTTTTACTACCTACCTATTGCTATTTCAACTATAACTTACAATGTAACCTTCACCCTTTATAAAGGGGGTACCTGCCTAGATTCGGACTACAACGGAACCCTTATTCATGAGCTCTTCACACGTCGAGGTCGTGAGCCCAAATTATGCTTGAGCTGAAATTGTACGCATAAAAATGTACGTCATTCAGAAAAGTGATTATGTAAAAACAATTATTGTAGGTCGCGTTCCGTCGGCGGTGGGAACGACGCAGTGTTGTGGGCTTAAATTAAACTTTTTTTGTGAAAGGGTAGTGCATGTACCTATGCATGTGTACCTACCGATTGTAAGGAGCTTTTAAATAAATGTAGTTATATTTGTTAAGTTTTGTGTTTTGTCGTGTCGAGAGTTTAATTATCCAATCCCTAATTCCCCAATCTACAAGTCCCTATCTCGCAATAGTAAGGTATCGCACTTGCAACTCCTCTGATTTCGCAGGAGCCTACGGGTGGCCCGATTGCATAACATCAGGAAATCTGGATGTTCCTATATTAGCTACGAGTATAGTATAAATCAATTAAGTGTAGTTCATCATAGCTACGGATAGAAGAAAAAGTTTTTTCTAATTATGCTGTTAACCCAAATAAGTAATATGACTGCAAGCATTGCCCATATGGTGTTGACTGTCGGAAATCTAAATAAAAAATATACATTGTATTTTTCTTTACTATAATCGATATTAATAGCAGTAACAATTCCAACCACTCGACCTAAAATATACAATGTCATTAAAATTGGATTGAACTTTTACAAGTCTTCGATTCAAGGCCCAAAAACCATACAAAATAAAAGTCCACAGCTTTACCTAATTAAAATTTGTCACAGAGAAGCCAATTAACAAAGTGATTCATGACGTCAATGGGAAAAGAGGTTATAAGCGTTATGGTAAAATTTGTAGCTGGCAACAATATTTAAGCGAAAATGATCAATCAACGTTTCTATTT